GAAACCCATGTTAATGGATCTATGTAATAACCACTAACCTGAACTTCTATATGAATCTTTCTTTTTCTGTAATTATAGTCTGTTGGAGCCATTCAATTGTGTCACTCCCTCTCATAAATAGCAATGCATTCCCTTTACATCCAATGTGTACAGAGGATATATAATACAAAGGGAACTAGTTATCTCACTACCTCAGAAGCCACCATTCATGATCAGAGCAACTTAAAAGGCTCACACAGGTTTGGGACAGTCCCTGTCTTTGGTGTATCTGCTTGCTACATACAAACCAAGCTACTTACATTGTCTTGTTGGGCATTCATGGCCATGTCCTCTTCCTTCAATTTCATCATTATATCTATATCCCTCTCATAATTTTTTACTTCATTCAAAGTTCTAGGAATATATGCACGTTTAAACACCTAACAGAGAAGAAAGGAAAAATCGAAACTGGTGACATACTTCTCATATTCACGTATCACCTCACCCCACCCCCAACAAGTCACCGAGGAATCTACAGTCATCATCTTCAACACTGACTCTCAGCCAAGCTGTCTGCACATTTGGTGTAACACCTGCTGTGTGGTGTGTCAAAATCAATGTTACTATTGATACAGTAACATTTTGCAAATAACTTATTTTAAGGAAGAAAAAGAACCATTACCGCTGATTCAAAGTTCTCCTTAGAATTACACTTCTTCTCTTTTATTTGCATTCCTAAAAGCTTTTCTGAGTAGGAGGTAAAGGGATGAAGTTAGAGTCAGAGTATTGCCTGGCTGTGTCTTACAATAGAACATTTTTACATGGGAAATCACAGCTGCTACAGTGAAAATGTCACAAGCTGCTGATAAACATAAGGTACCTCATATTCATCCATCACACTAAGAGCTGAGAATTTAAAAAAAAAAAGTCTACTGTAAATCTTTCACAAAAAATCCATCCTGATTCCTTAGACTAAAATAATTTTATTTTTATCCAAGGGTGGGAGAACCTATGGCCTTCAGGGCACATGTGGCCTTCAAGGATCTAGGTCCTTAAGTGCTCCCTTTCCATGAATCCAAATTTTATAGAATTAACCCTCTTATTTTTATTAACATACTTTTGTTTGTTTGTTATATTTTATTTTGTTTTTACAATGAACACTTTTAAAGTACCAAAGAATAAAATAAGCTCCAATGAGACCGTACATAGTAGCTCATGCCTATAATCCTAGCACTCTGGGAAGCTGAGATGGGTGAATTGCTTGAGCTTCAGGAGCTTGACACCAGCCTAAGCAAGAGCAAGACCTTGTCTCTAACAATAACCAGGGGTTGTGGTGGGTACCTAGTAGTCCCAGCTACTTGGGAGGCTGAGGCAAGAGGATCACTTGACCCCAAGAATTTGAGGTTGCTGTGAGCTATGACGCCACGGTGTTCTACCCAGGGCAACTAAGTGAGACTCTGTCTCCAAAAAAAAAAAAAAATTTCCAATGAAGTAATCCTTCCAGACTGGCCAGCATAATTAGACCATCATATGGGCTAAACTGAGGGTTGCTACACTCATGACTTAGTTCTAATTTCACCCAACTGGCATCACTA